TATATATATATATACATATATGTATAATCATGAATTTTAAAAAAATGCTGGGAACCACTGATGTAGACCACCCTGGCTGTTTGAGAAAGAAAATAACTTCCAGATTAGCAGTTACCTGGAATGTTTCCCCAGACTGGCCCCTGGGCTTCTGCTGCATAAATTACTTCATGTCTCAGTGTGGCTAACCTGGCAAATGAGGGTGTGAGGTGCTTTATGAGAGTTTACAGGTTCCCTTGTAAACCCACCATGTACTAGAAAGGGTAGGAGCACTCCAGTGAGCTGCCTTGTCCCACCACAGGCACAAACCAGTCCTTTGTGGGACTGAGAACACTCAGTGTTCTGGTACTTCCAAAGTACTGAGTGTATATTCTCATGTAAATGCTTACATGAGAGTGTCAACTTCAGCCTGGTTTAGTTAAGAGTATGAAAAGGCCATATTTAGAGGTTGGGAAGAGTTCGATGTTTCAATATGACTTCTATCATTATAACTAGTAGGCCCCTGAAAACTTTACTAGCCACATTATATGGTGTTTTGTGCTGTCCTCATGCTTGCCAAGGCCAGCGCAGTATGTGTAGGGCTCCCTGAGGAGGGCTGCTGGCGGTGCACTGTGGGATGCACCGATGCTGCGATCCCGGAGCATGAGATGCCCTCCCGTGTCCTGGTCATCCACTGCCCCCTGCCCTTCCTGCTGGCTTCAGGATTTGTCATTCTCTCCTTTCCTGCCTAATCGGTTATGTGATTCGTTTCTGCTGCCCCCTCCCAAAGAGTCCTTCCTCTCCTCCTGGGTCCATCCCTAATCACATTTCTTCTAGGGGCTCTAAGACCCTTAAGATGTCAGTTACCTCTGCTCCTTAGCCTCCTACCACACTGCATAGCTCACAGACCAGTGTGTATGTGATTAATGCTAAAATGATTATTTTTGTATCCATCTTCCAGCCACCATATGAGCCCCAGGATACAAGGGCTGAATCTCATTCCTCATTTTTTTATTCATCAAAACTCTGGCACAATATATGGCACACAGTAAGTTTGGCACACGTAAAATAAACTAAATTGCCTCAAGTTCTAAGCTTTAAGTGGTGGATGGTCACACCTCTTCAGAATGTACAAGAAAGAACTTTGCCTTCACAGTGGGAATTTTTATTTTTAATCAGCCCATGAAGAAAAAAGGAGACTTTTAAACCTTCAAGGAAGTCACATAGAATGAGCAGTCCAGATAATGTTCAGGTGGTAAAGTGCCAAAGGGGCATCGGGATTCACAACAAGAAACCCCACTGTCACCACCCTCTTTCCAGACAACATCACTGGCAGACTTTGCACAATATTAGCCTCATTCAACCGGCCATCATTTCCTCTTTAAAAATGAGAGGAAGAGTTAAGGGTGAATGAAAAAAATGCCTTTGAATTAAAATCTTAGCTTTGCTTTGAGCATCCACATGATTAAATGAGATCCAGATGAAAGCAGGCAATTTCCAAAAAAGCAAGGCCGGCCGGGGGTATCTGCCTTCCCTCATGTTTCTATGGGTAACTCCGTGCTCCAGTAAAGTCATGATTGATTCGAGGAGAATTATGGCTATTATAAACTGTAATCAGTGGTGGATGAGAATAATTACACAGGGAAAGGGGGAAGCTGGAACACGGCTGAGCAGCGTTCTGATGGATGGGGAAGTCATTTCCTGGCCGTTAATGACTGATTTTTTCAACAGTCAGCACACAAGCTTTAATCCCAGAGGAGAGAAGGAGAAAGGAATGGCCACATTATTAAGGATGCTTCTGCTTTTCTCTTAGATTTTCATGTGGCTCTAGCCAGTGCTTATCCCTCAGCCTGGCTTTGCTCTTGTCCCTGCAATTGTAGACACACTGTCTGGGGCTGGGGTTAGTACCCGGTCTTCAACTCCAAGACACCAGAGTGCGCGACAAGATGGAGTATCAATGTGTTACACACATCCCAAACGTAAGAGCCTTACATCAGTGTGTAGGTTGTTAGAAAGAAGGACC